ATATATATATATATATATATAAATTTATTATCATTTTAGTAAAAAAAAAAATGTCTTCCTTAATTAATATTTAACTGTATCTACTTATACAGAGATCATAATGATATTGTTGGTACTTGATAATTAAGTATGTAATAACACTAATAAGTAATAAAGTTATTAATGTTTAGTAATAACTATAAATTGTATAAATTAAATACCTAACTAGTTAAAGTATATAATAAATATTTTATTTCCAATAATAGCCAATAAATGCGTATTATAATGTATAATAGAAATAGGCAATAATAGGTCATATATTTTTTTTATTCAATCATGATAATTTATATTATATCACAATATTTTTATTTCTTATATTATGGATTTATACAGAATACTGTTATAAAAAATTAATGTGGTAAAAATTTATGAGGCTCTTACAAAAGTCTTATGGTTCAGAGGACATGGTCTTCTCCGCTACCCCCTTATTTCTGAATTGAATATTAACGTATCTATATAATTTTTAATTTCCTAAATATTGGTTGCTAAGCGATCAAATATTTTTCTAAATCGCAACATGTTCAAATATATATTATTTTAGGTACCTAGTTCTAAAAATTCTTTTGTGCAAGCTTTGAATGACAAGTTGACAATTTAAAAAGTTACTAAACGGAAGATATGATATTTTATGTAGATAATAAAATCGGAAATACAAAATAACATATTTTGCATAAAAAAAAAGTCTGTGGAAGATCTATAATAATATGATCTATCCATTCTGTTCCCATCATCATCCTCTTAATCATGTCGCTGTATGATATGATCATTGCTTCTCGCTCCCAAAAATAGTTAACACGACACTGCTTTTATTATAATATTGTATTATACTTAATTAGGAGGTAGGTATATATCAGTATCATATATGGATGTGTTTAATGTTTATGTACCTATGTATTATGTATGTTGTATTAACCGTATAAGGCTGAAACAATTAAAACCAAAATAAACAGGTGGTTGTTGTGAAATCATCCAGGTTTGCAATTAAATCAGTAAAAGCAACATACAACAAGTAAACAATACAGGGAATAATCTTGAAATAATGTTAACACTTAAGCCAATGGTTTCTAACATCAATAAAATACCAACTGCGATACCTATCACAGATATTTCTGTTGCCTGTTTCCGTCGTTCGTCAATGATTTAATTTTAGTGATATCATAAACGCTAACATTAGCAATCGATGACTATTATCTAGGCATTAGGCATTTAAGTAATTAACAAACAGTATACATTAATAGGTAAGGTTGTAAAATCAAATAAGTACCTATTTTGTTATTATCCATTTACTGCTATGAGTAGGAAATTACCTTAATGTTTAATATTGATAATTTGGTTTAACAAAATATTTAAATGAGGTTAAAAATTTAAAATGATACTAAAGTGCACAGGAAAATTGGTCAACTAATATAGGTAGGTAAGTACTATACTACTATAGCTGAGTTATAGCTATTTAAATAAAATATTAAAACTTTAAAACGTTCATAACTCACTTTAAAATTGTAATATTAATAAAAGCCTATGCGATAGCCTAGAAAGAATTTTTACCTTTAAGTTTTATAATAGGTAAATTTACTCAATTATTAAAGCTACACAAAACACAAGTAACAACATAAAATGGATTTTTCGGAACGAAAATTTGCCATGTTACATGTATGTAAGACGGAGACAACACATTCGAGTGCGACGGATCATACGTCACGTATGTTATTATATGTATACAACATTTATTTAAAAAAGATTTTAGAATTTCAATAATTTAAAATATATTATATGTGGGATTCTGAAGGTATAATTTTCATTAAAATCCGAGTAAAAAATTCCACATGAGCTTATTTGTGTATATTCTGTCAGAAAATTATTACATCAATATTTCATATGGAATATGATTTTATATGTTCATTATTTTTTACATAGTAGGTATATAAGTGTGTACTAAAAAAATCACGAAATGCTGTTTTAGCTGAATTTTCAAATTTGTCTGTTATACAATAATTATGTTTTAACATTTCTTCTTTGGAAATTAGATCAAGAAAAGGAAAATCAATAATATGAACCATTTTACTATATTATCATTTGCTAAATTAAATAATTGAATAATGTTACTTACATTTTAAATTTTACGAAACAAAGTTTGGTTGAAATTAAAACGATACCAATAAATTACTTTTCTACCATTTAAAAATTAACGCGCTTAAATTTTTACCCTGTAAATATGTATTATTCTTATTTTTATTCTCATGTAATCGTGTTGGAACTTGTATAGGTACATTATTTGTTAAACATATGTTACATAATATGTAACTTTTACCTGTTGGGCGTTAGGTATACTCTCACCCTAGAGTATAAATTTGCCATTTCATGCAGTATTCTTCAATTAAGTTTGACAAAATAGCTATTATTGGATTTATAGATTATTATAAATATTGGATTTTCCTATTGTTATCTTATTCGTGTAATTTAATAATAATGTTTTAAAATAAGTATATTTCCATACAATTAATAAAAATGATACAATTGGTAGATTATCGGTTCTCAGTAGCTATAACAGTCATATTTAACAATAATAAAATTAATAAAATGCATGTGTATTTGATTACAGGTATTAATAATTAAATTAACTTTTTAAACTCCAATATCATCAATACGAGGTACTACCTCATTGGTGAATTGGGCCAACCAAACAATATATAACTATATATCACTTTTTGTATGAATTTACTTAATATTGAACAATTTGAAATGTAATTAATTATGTATTTACCTATTTGTTTTGGCCAATAAATAAATCTTTATCTTATCTTAAAAATCATTTGAAACTCTAATTAATTTTTTGACATAATATTCTGTAAGTACTGATAGTCTAAGTTTTTAAAATGAGAAAGAAAATGTTATTTTTACAAAAATTTTTAGCCTCAATTATCTGTTATTTTTTAGACCGAATTAAATGTAAATTTGGGTTTACGAGACTTAAATATAATAATATTTACTTCTTTTACCTATATAATACATCAGTAGGAGGTACTCAAAATAATTTATATTTCATAGCCTATAGATTATTCTCATGTAAGTCATGTTATTTATAACCATGAAGCTGTGACATTTAAATTGTATGTTAATATTAATTATACTAAGTATAGGTACTTGACGTACTTGACTACTTTAGTACTAATGTATAAATCATTGTAATTATGCGTAAATGTATTGCAATATTGCTATTTTCATAACCCAAATTATCTAGTTTTGATCAAATTTGATTATTTTAGTTTTTGAAATTTTCTAAGTCTCAGATCAGTTTAAATTGTGTGCTCAGTGTCGTCATAGGAATGCGACTATGCCGACTAAAGTTGAGTTTAACACTCTAACAATAAATTAGGATAATATTAACTATTAAGATTTACCTAACTTAATACTTGATGCGATTAAGAAAAATTGTAATACCGACTACCGTAGCTATTTGATAAACGACTGTCAGTGTCTGGTAATTTTTTTAAAAATATGAAGAAAAAAATGGTGCATTAATTTATCAAGAGAATAACGAGAAAATCTCAATTATTTCAAAAAAATGTTACGAGTTGAAAAAGTTTGGAAATCATTGCCTACATAAATTTACAATTTTTACAAATTATTAAATCTTAAATGGTTAACATTTTTAACATTTTTCTTTATTGAAAATCAACTATTTAAAATAAATTTACAAAAATTATGATTTTTAAGTGAATCAGAAAATATATTTTTTTATCGTATTCGAGTATCTTAAGTTGTTAAGTTTCATCAATTATATTGTAGATACTAGATTTCCATTAACAACTTAGTACGACTATAATAAGTTTTAGTTTATTATGTAATAATATTCATGATTGTTAATGAAATCTAATACCTATTAATTTGTTATTATAATTTTGCGGCATTTCTGTACGAGCAACAAACTATTGATTGTTGCAAGGTCGTTTGACTTTCTAAAAAATTGTTAGGTGTTTGATTGTGATATCATATGTATTATGTATACTTATATTGTTGTTGTGTGCAAACCCCCTATTCCTGTTTCTGCTCCTATATAATGTCAGTTGTTACTATATACCTACGTTATGGTACGCCACTATAATCGGTTAATATCAATTTATCTTACCTCTTTAAGTTTGAAAGTGGTTCTGTATATCGATTTTCATATGTATAAACTTAATACTTTTGAACATTTAATATACATCTGATTAATAAATTGCATGATGTATTTTTAAATTTATGTCTTATTTACTCCCTTATTTTTTAATGCTATATTCATAGCAGTAGTTAACGGTTATATTGACTAAAATTTCAAGCTTCAAGGCAGCGCTGGGAATTAAAGAAACACGTGAAAAAAATTGTTTTCGGTCGTTGTGTGCGCAAATCCCCTTCTCCTGTTTTTATAATGTTATAATTACCTTACCTCTGTATACATATGTAATCTAACCCGGTAGCTACTACTAGCTAGGTATTATAGGTTTATAAAATATGCACTCGCATGTGATGTGCATACAATAATTTACTTACAATGATATATGTTTATGTTTATAATGATTTGCATTATATTTCCACTGATAATAATAACAATAATAATTATTAATATGTCAGCATCTAAGTTGGTTTAAAGTAATTTAATTATTTGCTACGCCATAGTTGTACCCTGTATCTAGTTAGGATTCGTTTGTTAAGCACATACCATTTTAAAATAGCAAAATATTCTAATATTAGTAATTACTAATACCTTAGAAATTGATTAAATTATACTATTTTGTAAACGAACGCGAATGTCGCGAATACATTTTGTAAACAATGTAAACAGTGTTTGTAGATAAAAATGTGTGAAATCGAAAAAAACCCCACTGATATTATTCTCCCTCTTAAATATTTTTGTTTATAGTTTTTCTTCCATGGTACTTAAATAATTCTTATCAGAAATCGTCTTTTGTGTTTTTTTTTTTTTTTCATTAATCATTATTCACTTTACGGGTGCCTTGTAGAATATTTAATTAACCATTACTCAGTACTCAGTAGATGGATTATAATTTATTAATTGTGTCTATATCCCGTTTAGCAGAACACTTTCCAACCGTACAAGTCCGTCAATGCCGTTTTATCTAGATGTAATAAGTTTGCAGTGACGTCGAGTTTAGCTGAGCAGAGTTGTTTTATTTGGGATTTGGATCATCATTCATCACAATACAAAAACAACACTGCACTTGTGTGTTATCATGTATGTAGTTCGCGTTTAAGTGACGACGTCTTGTAGTGTCTAGTAGACTTAGAGCTACGACGATTGCGCTACGCAAGATGGGCAGCTGCTTCAGTTGTCAAAGGGGCTCGTCCGGCAAGAAGGATATGACGGGTTCACCGTCAAATGCTGGCAATAGTAAAGACAACATTTTGCCAGCCGTACCCAGTGTACCCACACAAAACATGCCACCCCATGAAATTCGTGAGGTCAGGAATGGACCAATGCCACCAGTCCCTGACCAGGAGCCTTCCAATGCCACAAATGCATCAGCAAAAATATTCGTAGCTCTTTATGATTACGATGCACGCACCGATGAAGACCTCAGTTTTAGGAAAGGAGAACATTTAGAAATTCTAAATGATACGCAAGGAGATTGGTGGCTAGCTAGAAGCAAAGCTACTAAACAAGAAGGTTACATTCCTTCTAATTATGTTGCCAAATTGAAGTCTATAGAGGCTGAGCCATGGTATTTTGGCAAGATTAAAAGAATTGAAGCTGAAAAAAAATTGCTTTTACCAGAAAATGATCATGGAGCATTTTTAATTAGGGATTCTGAAAGTAGAAGAAATGATTACTCTTTGTCTGGTGAGTACATTTTTTATTATGAAAATATCGCAATATTATATTATACCTGTATATTATCGCTGTAATTGTATGGTGTTACATCAACAAATCGGTCTATTTACTAAATAACATACATTACATTTACAATATACTTGATAATTCAATGGACAAAAATCTAAAAACATGTTTGACTTAAATATAATTTCATAAAGTATTTTTTGATTCATAAACAGGTAAAAAATGCAAAAAAGTCCTAAAAAAGCACTTAAAACTAAAATATGCAAAAAAGGCAAAATTTTAATTTGAGCTCTTTATTTTATGAAACACATTTTTAGCTTACTCTGCTAAAAGCATCTCATAAGAAATGTGCAAATGCTATAAAATCCCAACCTTGGTAATCACAGTGGACATTAGCTATTTTTATAAAACTAGGTTCTCATAACTAATGTTAATTCAAAGATATGTAGGTAATATATTTTTTATAAAAAATGAAAATATATGTACATAATGATACATAGTTTGTTTTTAATATTTATCTATAGGAATTTAATATATTTTAGTCAAATAAGTATTTTATTTCTTGATTGAATGATACATTTGTGTTTATCATATTGTTTGTTGATATATTTCTTATATGTACATTCCTATTATACATAATGCGTAAAAATCATGATTATTTAACAATGTTATTGGTTAATATTACATTGTGTTTATTTTTTATATCATGGTAGGTAAATATATTTATTTTTCTGATTATATATTTTCCTAGTATAATCATAAAGAAGAAACTCATAAGGTCTAAAATGCTGAAAATATTCTAATGTATGTTATGTTTATCATTACATTAATTTCATGTTAACATACATTTAAATATCATAGTATAAATGTTAACAGTACATAATATTACTATTATTACCTAGGTTTGGTAAAAAAAAAAAAAATTCAAATTTGTTTAAAATACCTACTATAGTCTATTTTATGGTGCACGAGAAGATAGTCTGGACTTCCTGTGGTATACCACTGAAATAAGTTAATGACAATGTCCAACCCCTTAGATTTTGAAGATGGTTCTATATAAAATATAAACTTAAACATTTAATATGAATATAATTACTTAATTAATTGAATTACTTGTATACTTTTATATTTACTTATTTGTTATGTTATATTCATATTTATTATATACATTTACTATAGTTCGCGATGGTGATACTGTTAAACATTACCGAATCAGACAATTAGATGAAGGTGGATTTTTCATTGCTCGGCGTACAACCTTTAGAACTCTACAAGAACTAGTAGAGTACTATAGTAAAGATGCCGACGGTTTATGTGTCAATTTACGTAAGCCTTGTGTACAGGTGAGATTTCATTTTTAAATTTAAAAATTATCTATAAAATATGGTTTTTTTTTTTTAGATAAAATATTTATTTAGACCACATTATTAATTTTGATGTGTTAAAATCTCTTATTTTATTTTTTATTTGTTAGTTTAATGATTAAATTTCATAACAAAACATTTTACATTTAATATTTTTTATATTTACTGTCCAAGTATTTAATTTATTTTTAAAATGAATTGCTTATTATAGAATTAAAATAAGCATATAATATTAATTATAATTCTATTAGTAATATAATTTTTTTTTTTTAATATTTTTTTAATTACTACCTATTTAATTTGATTTAATTTTGTTACTATCAAAAATTAAACTATAACGAATAATGACAATAGTGTCAACCACAATTAATTTCCATCCCATATTATCTATTATGTGGGTTAATAAATAATACATAAATTATGTAATAATAATTATTAACTTAAGTCAGTATTTAAAACTATACCATAGTAATAGAATAGCAACAATACATTTTAAGTATTAAAATCTACACTAATTTAATTGGGACTGAAAATTGTGTAGTTAATTAAATAATGATTCAAAATATACAATGAGCATGATTTCAAATGTCATGTTTATACTCATAATCGTTATAATTATTTGTATATAAGTATAATATGATAAAGGATAATTTTGTTTAATACTTAAAATATATTTTTTTATAAAATTAATAAAAAAAAACATATTTTTATTTAAAATAAGAATTGTTAGTTAATTAATAAATTTGTACTAACATTTTGTTGGTAGTGTGAATAATAAATACTCTATATTTAAATATTAAAATAATATACATAGTTAAAAATGGCTCATGTTGCATACAATTTTTATTTTTTGAATTGCACTAAAATAACTATTTATTCATTATGTAATAAATCATAACAATTTGTTTAAATTTACAGTTTTGTCAAATTTTGATTAATGTTTTAAAAAGAAATCTGCATTTGTATTTTTGATAGTTTTTAATGGCGGTAAGAACAACTTATGAGAAACTATATACAATAAGTTCAAATCTTAGATATTAAAATTAGAAACGTTATGAATTTCATGTACATTATAATAATCATTTTTTAAATACACTTTATTTTTTATAAATTATAACTGGTAAACGTTTATGATTGTTAAAATTCTAACTTTATAAAATTTATTTACTATATAAATCTAGAACTTATACATACAAAAATTATGACAGCATGTTTTCATATTTTATTGTTGTAAGAATAACTTATGGGACCTTTTTTATTTTATTTTTTTATCATTTATTTGTTGAACAGTGAGTAGGATTTGATTTAAAAATATGAATTAAACAATTTTTAGTTACTATAATAATTTAAAGAATTATTTACAAAAAGTTAAGTGATTTGTAGATTTGTTTAAACTTAATATTATGTTTGTTCTTTTGATAGGTCGAAAAACCAGTAACAGGGGGTTTGTCTCATAGCACAAGAGATCAGTGGGAAATTGACAGATCTTCGTTGAAGTTTGTTAGAAAATTAGGACATGGTCAGTTTGGTGAAGTTTGGGAAGGCTTGTGGAATAATACGACACCAGTTGCTATAAAAACACTGAAGACTGGTAAATTACAATTATTCATAATTCAATAAGTAATTTAGTACAATTATTCTGTTTTTTAAATTAGGTACAATGGATCCCAAAGATTTCTTAGCTGAAGCACAAATTATGAAAAAACTCAGACATACCAAATTAATTCAATTATATGCTGTTTGCACTATGGAAGAGCCAATCTATATTATCACTGAACTTATGAAAAATGGAAGTTTATTAGACTTTTTACAAGGTATTCTACTACATATTTTATATATCTTTTTTTATTTGTATATTTGATATATTACCTAATGACGTTTAAACTTGTATATAGGTAAAGGACGTGGCTTAAAACTCCAACAGTTAATTGATATGGCAGCTCAAATAGCTTCTGGTATGGCATACCTTGAATCTCAGAATTATATTCATCGTGATCTTGCTGCTAGAAATGTTCTTGTTGGAGAGAGTAACATTGTGAAAATTGCAGATTTTGGTCTTGCTCGACTTATAAAGGTTAAGGTTTTAAAAATTAGTTATTATTGTATAAAATGTCAATATTTGTTGTTTTTTTTTAGGAGGATGAATATGAAGCTAGAGTTGGTGCTAGATTCCCAATCAAATGGACTGCACCAGAAGCTGCTAATTATAGCAAATTTTCTATAAAATCTGATGTATGGTCATTTGGAATTTTACTTACTGAGTTAGTTACCTATGGCCGAATACCTTATCCTGGTAAATATTAATATATATGTAGTTTTTGAAAAAAATATTTTTCTATAAAATATTATGTCGTGTTTTTTTATTGAAATTACTAATTAATTTTAGGTATGACCAATGCTGAGGTATTGCATCAAGTTGAGCATGGTTACCGAATGCCAATGCCACCTAATTGTCCAACGGCGTTGTATGATATTATGTTAGAATGTTGGCACAAAGATGCAATGAAGAGACCAACATTTGAAACACTTCAATGGAAATTGGAAGATTTTTTCACAATGGAGGGGTCTGAGTATAAAGAAGCATCGGGTTACTGAGATCACGCCCGCCTCTCGGAGTGGCCTATGCAACAGGCCATCGCTCTACGCGGTGCTAATCCTCAAGCAGCCGCCATATATATGCAACACGCATCTGCGGTTTATCACGCACATAGACATCAACTACATCATTTGCACAATATTTATCATTAACACTGCTAGGTACATCTTTGACCATCATTACTTTTGGTAAGTCATAAATGTTTATAACTTATTGTCAGTTTCTTTCTTTCTTTTTTTTTTTTTTGATGTTCTTATGAATGAATTGTTTTTAAACTATTTAGTTGTAGATAATCTTTTAATTTTTTAGATACTGTTATTTTATTAAACATTAGATTTTAAACTACTTAGGTTAAATTATTTTTATATCTGCCAACATGCTTTATCCAATTTGTATTTTATTTTTATTTTTATTTTTATTGATGTTAATAAGTTCTATTTTTTATAACACAGTAAGTAATATTATCTCTGTATGTATAACCATAAACATAGCTCAAAGAAACCTTGTACAAGAAAATTTAATTTAGAGATGTTGTTCCTGTATCAGTTAATTGCACCCTTCATTGTGTAATATTTTAAAACTGTGATTGTTGTATGGTTCTTATGAAAGTCAGAGAACTAGTGTATTATATCTAAGGACAATACAATTTTTTTATAATCTTGGTATATTATATATTATACTTTATTGTAGCAGGTGTAATTTTTACCTGCATATAGAATAATATATTGTAAGTTAGTACAATTTGTTAATTTATTGTTCAACTCATATATTATACACTAGTTCATTGTTTAATAATGTCAAAAGTAATATTCATTTTTGTGATCTGCAATGTCAATTGTTAATTTATTTTTAGTGAAAATTAATATATATTATATATTTATTTTGTAGTTATTCTAAAAATTAATTAATACAAATTACATTCAGTATTAATCAAATAATGAGAAACATTTGAACAACATTTACATGTATTTAATTAAATTAATAAATTTCTATGATAATGCATAATTATTAGTTATTTAATAAGAATAATATTAAATTAAATATTTTATAAACAATTATTATTAGTTTATTTTATTTATTTGATTGTATTTCATATCAGCTTTTATCTTGTTATTTCAAAGTATTGTACCAATCACAGTTTATTTTAAATTATGATTTTTAAATTATTTTAAATAATTATTTTTGATAAAATACTTCATAGATTATACATCACAACATTCATTTTCTATTTACTGTTTATATCACAATAGTTATTATATAATGTATCCTTTTTTATGCCTTTTTCTTTATTATTTTTTTATCATATTATATTTTCTACCTTTTTTTTATGACTACAAAAATAATTTTGTTAAGTACAAAACCAAAAATCCAAAAGATGTTCTTAACTACCAAAACGAATTAACACAAAATAAACAACAAAAGTGTTCTTAATTTCAGAGCGATTTCGAGAGGTCAATGTATTATTCTATAATACTAATAAATAAATAATATTAAAAAAAAAATTGTAAATATAATTTGTTTTCACCATGCGTTTTTATACTAGAAAAACATTCAAAAGTTGTTATTTAATGTTTTGTATTTTTGCATGCATACTAGGATAGAATGTCTTAACATTTAGATAAATCGAACAAAAAATTATTATTATTTTTTTTTTTTACCTTTTTTAACTCGTATATGTTCATTTAATTATTATTATTATGATAACTATTATTAATTTTATTTGTATTTTCTAGTTCCTTACATTTATTCAATTATACAAACTTGTTAACATGTATATTCCAAAATTTTAATAATATGTATATGTATATGTTGAAAAAGACACCTTTTTGCAATCTTAATGACAATTTACCTAATCATTATTATTATTATTATTATTATTATTATTGTTTTATGTGTATATATTATTTCTAAACTTATTATTATAAAAAAAATATTAGTTTTAAATAGACTAAACTATTAATCATTATTTTAGGTCATTTTATTAAAATAAAGTTTTACCTATAAATTTTGTGCTTTTTTTTATAATCCATCAATATTCTATTATTTTTTAAATTATATTTTAATATCCAAATCCTATTTTCTTCCTATAAATAATTAATAAATCAAACAATAATATTCTGATCATACGGCGTATTGAACAGGCAATTCAGCTACACTACTGAAGTGGGCAACAGCATTAAAATCTAGAGCTACTAAAAAAGTTTCAAATAATGTACCTATTGTTCTAAATTATTACTCAAACACTCACCAAAAACTATTGCAGCTCGACAATGGTAAAGAATTTTACATTTCAACATTTGACACGTTAATGTCTAAATACAACATAGGTACATAAATATTCAACGTACAGTATCATGAAGTATTGTATAGTACAACGTTTCAACTGTATATTAAAAGAAAAAACATAATAGAGGGTTTACAGCACGAAGATCGTACGAATAGGTTTCTACTTACCATCATTGATAAACAAATATAATAATTCAAAATATAAAATAGACATGACACTGTAGCAAGCTGATGTAATCCATTATCTGCAGTATAATAAAATAACGAAAATTTTAATGGAAAATTAAATTTAAAATTGGTGATAACGTTCGCATTAATATACAAAAGGTGTGTTTCCAAAGATATTTAACGAGCTGGTCTACAGAAATATTTAATTTTTAAATAAACAAGAGGTTTATCCACTAATTATCAATTGCATAATTACACCGGTAAACCGATTGCCAGTTGCTTTATTCTGAAGAAATATTAAAACTAATAACTCAAACGACTTTGTTAAGTATAGAAAATTATACGTAGAAGAGGAAACAATTTTTGTTAAATGGTTTGGCTTGATAGCAATCATAAAAGTTGGATAAATATACGTAA